GCACATGCGCGTTAAGCTAGTTCTTTAAGCTCAGCCAATCTTGGTTTGCACATGTACGTCCTGTATGATTTGTGCGCGTGCTATGTCAGTGTACCTATGGCTAGATTGAGTTGCACCATTGCCGCCGAGCCGACTGCGTCAGCTACACACGCAAATCTACATCCGATGATCTCTTGCTTCGACTGGAGCGCAAGATACGCGGCGGCCGCAATTACTAGGGCGCCATACGCGGGCCTATATACATTCAAATGAAATCCAAAATACATGCATCTTGGGGTCGCACATCATGCATCGCGTACGACCCATGACTATGCACAATGGACGGCCCGGCCATAACCATAGTGTCAATCCTCTGGACGTTACACAATTGCTGGAGCAACCATGTGTATGTGATCTTTGACTACCATGCTTAACGTCAATTCATTTGCAACTTGCGAAGGACTCCTTGGTCTCTTGTTTGTTGTACCACACAAAGACCAGTCTCAGCGCCAAGACTCGAACCAAGTCCGGCCGCCGACATAGTTGCTTCTAGGTATATCACGATGGTTGTACACCAGCAACAAACGAGCCATTTGGATACTACCGCCATAATTGGTTAAATGAAAGCACATTGGTCAAGTTTCCGGTCTAAAATCCAACTAGTGTAGAAATGGGCTAAGCCAACGCGGCCTTCTCTTCGGCTTTCTTAAGGTTTCTCCACTTGTCTTTCAGATCCACACCCCTACGCTCTTGAAAGACGCCGTGGCGTAGCCCGTAAGCCCGGATAGCCTCCCACGGAATGCGGTGCTTGTTCTCGTCCTTTACATACATTGCAAAAGCATCCTACACGACGGATCAAAGGTGTGAGGACAAGCGATTGGGCTACCCGCCCAGGACCTCTTCACGAACATGAAAGACCCGTTGTGCGCAAGTCCAGGCAGTGAAAGCACATCCACAGCAGATATGTTCGGATCGCTTAGCCAAAAGAGCTCACGAGAGTATGCTGCTATCTCAGAGTGAATGAGAGCAATAGTATGGCATTACTTGCCAAAAGAAAACCCAGCCATTCTGAAAATTTGCGATGATCCTCTCGTTCTGCTCGTGACAGATCCAACAATTGCTAACGTGCCTAGTAGGAAGCTTAACAAAATCTTGAGGGCTACGGATGCTGGGCTCACTTTCAGCCTCTTGATCTCCTCGTCGGACCAGTACCGGTTGTTCCGACGCCCCTCCTCACTCCTGCACGCGGGGATCTTTCAGCCGTCAGCAAATGCTCGATCAGTCAATCAAACATTCGTACTGTCAAACCGCACTTCCTGAAGAACGCTGGAAAGAGATTGTCATGCAACACCTTGAGATCTCACCAAACACCCAACAGCAGTCTGCAAAACATGCTTCTTCGTACCTGGTCCGCTCCTCAGCTTTCGCCTCCGCCTCTTCCTTCTTCGCGTCCCCGTTCTCGGCCGCCCCGGGCTCCTCGTCCGGCAGCTCCGGCATCTCTTCCTGGCCCGGAATGTCCTGCCCGGTAGACGGCCCCGGGCGCTCGTCCGCCTCCCTAGGCTCAGACTGGCACTCCTCGGGGGGTGGGGGGGGCTGAGTGGACGGCCCAGGCTCGAGATGCTCTACGAGACGGGAGACGGGGCCTGGCGGGGGGGCGCTGGGGCCGGGCAGCGAAGCAGGGGGACCGTCGTGATTTAGCCTTCTGCAACGCAGTGGTTGGCAGGAGATTGACGTCAGAAGTGGCTTGCAAAAGTGTTATCAGTGCAATGACATGATAGGATCCTAAGCAGGTGCAAGCTTCTCCTGGTGAAATGTTGCGAGCTTTCTTCCAGGCAAATTCGGCCAGAGAGCGACAGCACTGTCTTTCACCAGCTTTTTGAGATGTGCCCAACTCAAGCGGCAACTGACAGAAGATAAGACAGCACAAGGCCAAATGTTATTCTCACCGCGTAGCCTCTAGCTTGGCCCGAATCTCTTTCTCGCGCTTCTTCTTCAACTTCGCCAGGCACAACGGACAAATGTACTCGAGCGGGGGTGTCTCGCTGACGCCCGCGCACGCATAGCAGGTCGCATCTGGAAGCACGCATCGTGTGTCAGCCGTTTGCTCGCCCCAACGTGAATTCTCCTGGCTTTCTCGAATCCCGAAACCCACCTCTTTCGCGCCACAACACTTGGAAAGCCCAGGATCTTATGGTCGAACACGCATCGCTTCGGCCATTTGAGTAGGGAAGGTCAACTAAAGATTGCCTAAGGACGCAGGAGCTCATCGAAAAATGCTGGAGCCCACATTCATGAATTTCGAAGCCAAGGCGCACATTACCGGCCTGACCCAGTCTGAACCCTGGACAGCGCATTCGGTCTAGAGTAAATCATAGCAGACAATGAGCTTCGCCCAGTCTATCCTATTGTTTAGACAAGCGCTCCAAGGGAAAGCACATTAAAAGGTCGGCTTCGCCCAGCCTATACCACGAACCAGATTATCAATCCAAGAAATACCAGAGCGAATAGATCGCCCCTGCAACGAAGCGCTCTGCCGCTTACTCGCACAGCCTGTGCACAGCAGCAGCGCCCCGACGTCCTCCACCTTGGCGTCGCAAAGGCAGCACCAGTCGTTACTCCCGTCCTCTGTCAGCGTCAAGAACTGCGCATTGTGGTCCCCTCCCGCTTCCTCCTCAGGTCCGAGCTCCGGCATCGCAACATCCACCGCCTCGGCCCCCCTACTCGCCATCTCTAGTTCCTCCAACATTTTCAGGCCCTTCCGCCGGGCCCCCTCTCTGGGGGGAGCGCTGGCCCCCCCTGGTGGGAGATTTTCGGGAAGGGTTGGAGGGGGTTGGTGGTCCGGGGGGCTGAGGGCGTCGTCCATTTGAGAGTCCTGGGGGGGTGCGCCGACATCGTCGTCTACCGGAGGGAATTCAACGTTCTCAGCCTGCACGGAATAACATCCAAAATCAGGGAACGTTATGCAACGGACTCGCAATGCGTATTTGCTATCCGTTTGACATAGTGGTGACATTCTGTGACGTGCTCAAGTCTGCTGCATCCAAAAAGCACAGTATCAACAACTATCAGAAACTCGTCGTGTCAAAAGACCCACACCGAACAGATCATCCACCTGTGGGCCAGCACGATCGCCGCCAACGCCGGCTCCCCGCTTATCCGCCACAACCCTCCTCCGCTTCAGGGGGGTCGTCTCCTCTTCCTCCTCGTCGGCAACATTCACCGCCCCCCCTTGCACGGGCCCAGCTCCCCCCCCTCTCTCTGCCCTCCCCCCAAGCGGCGACGCCTGCTCTGGACTCGCCATCCCCGCCTTCGCAGGCCCGCTCTTGCGCCGCCTCATAGGCGACCGGGGGGGCGCGCCGTTTTCGTACACTCTCGGACGGCCCCTCGGGCGCTTCGGCTGCTCCGGATCCGGCTTCGGGTGGATCCTCGGCCGGCCGGGCCCTCGTTTTGGGGGGGACTCCATCAGTGCCAGCTCCATGCCGGGTGAACCCCCCTCCGAGTCGGAAAGGATCGCGCGTTTCCTCTTGCCGACCCCTGGTTTGCGGCCGCGTTTTGGAGGACCTAGATCCGGCGAGGATTGCAACGGAGAGTCCTCGAGAAGGCCCGGCGGCGCCTCCGGCCGCTTTTCGGTGACCTTGCGTCGGGGGCCAAGCTTCACAGCCGTGGGGGTGGGCGCGTCGTGAGTCGCCTCCGGAGGTTGATCTTCAGGAAAAGAGGGAAAGGTCTGGTTAGCGCTTGCTTGAGTTGGTGGTGCTGATCTAGAGTGAGGTGCGGTGGAAGCAGGGTCATAATTCTGTCGTTCTTATTCCTAGTCGCCTTCAATATCAGAAGCTGTTGTCAATTGCCCAGAAATCGAAATCAAGTTCCGACGAGCCGCAATCTATTTGAAGACTGGTCGACAAGTCCAACCTCAAGCGGACGTCTATAAACCTATTCCGTTCAATCAAATTCCACCTACGTTCGACCAGACTTGAATCAGACTCCCACCTTGATCATCTTCTGGTGCACCAAAGTCTGCAACCATCGCGTTGTCGGCCCCGCCATTCTGCACCTTTGTCGCCGCCCCGCCGCTGCCGTTTTCTAGAGCGCGGCCTCCCAAGGTGCCCTCCCTTACAGTATTGGTTGATGGGACGGGCTGGGGGGCATACGGGTTCTCTTCGAGCTGCAATGCAAGAGGTGACGAGTTCTTACCAACTACTTACGACACCTTGGAGACTCGTAGAATGTTTTCAGCTGTCTGAAGAGGGTGTTTGAGCAGAACTCAACTGTCTTTTCCACTTTTCCACTTTTTCCAGGGATTGGAGGTCGCCATCAATAAAGACGAAGTGTTTGCATGTCTGAAAAAGTTACATGTTTCAACACCGCCTTGTTTTTGCTTCCCCATGTCGCAGACTTGCCTAAGATCTTGAAGAGAAAGATGGATCATGCGATGGTGGTTAGAGGCGACCAAGTTTACTTGGCTTCTTGCAAAAACCGAACTCGTTCAAAGAAAATGTGCTTCAAGAAGACTACAACCTACTATAATATGATTGACTCAGGCTGCCTTTTGCGGTCGTCAACGAAGTCTGGACGGGTTTTCCTCAAGCCCCACTTTGCACCGCTTATCTGATAAAACCACCTCGGATAGAAACAGCACATGCAGCAGCAGATACGTCGGACTTGCCCGGGCAAAGTTGGCTGTTCTTCACAGCACCTCGGGGGTGTTGAGCTCCAAAAAAGATGATTCGAGCAGACTTCTGCCAGAACAACGGATGCCAAACACTCACCCGCTTAAGCGTCGTTGTTGTTGGCATGTGCTGTGTAGCCGTATCCAGGAGCGCCTTTAAGTCGTTCAAGACGTTGTCAACTGGGTGCTTCTCCAGGAGCTTCTCCAGAGCCGCTTCGCGGTGTTTCTTGGCAGTGGACTGCGATACCAGCAAAGGGAGAATGTCAGCCTCAAGGCACAGGACAAGCTTAGACGTGTTGGAAAAAGGCTAGCCAGAGGGAAACGTTTGGTGCTTGAGATCCAGGGGGGATCATGATCCAAGAGATCACGAACCTAGACCGGAAGCAATTGGACGATTTACGACTTGTTTATGTCGATAAAGCTCGTAAAGGATATAAGCACTGGGCAGGTTACTAGCCATGAAACCGCCATTTTGGCAAAGAAGATGGTGCTGAAATCCGAGAAACAAGGAGCATCAGGATTGTCTTTCAAGCAGTGATTGTCTCCAGTTGCCCCTAAGTATTTGTCCAAGTGGTTGTGTGCAAGAAGCACAGGTGATCCCCCCAAATGGAGGCTACATCACAACATGGAGCAGAGTCAAAAATGGATGGCAAGTGTTGATCGCCCTTCACCAGGTGGTTTTGAAAACCCTAGCATCTTGGTTATATTAGGGTTTTGTGTCCCTGACCTGTAGCACTGTCTTCAGGTCGTCATGGGCAGCTTTTGCAGCTTCCGACTGGTCTTCCTCGTTCCCAAAGAGCTGGGTCACGCAGTTGGCAAAGCCCTTCCAGTTCCTGCGGGATGAGCCTTCTTCACCCTTCAGGATGCTGATACAAACCTGCAATAATGGGGTTGTACAACGTTCAAGATACAGATTGGAGCTGAACCAGAACGGCATTTCTGCTGCAGCAATTGGCCTACCAGATGGAGAATGATGGATTGGTTGTCTGCTCATTTGTACCGCTCATCGCTTGCGAATTAGGGTTTTGCCGCTAGGGTTAAACCCTACTTGCATCGATCCTCCTTTTAACATGCACTTTGGCTGAAATAGATGTCCTTTCTTGGATTGTCGGTATACGATGAGATGTCTAGTTTAGGGTTTAGGAAATGCGTATACTTTCAACAGACTTAGGGTTTTAGGGTTAGCGCGAGCATTAGGGCAACGTCTACGGTAAAGGAAGAGCAAGTCTTGCAGCATGCTGGTGCAGACATTGGTAAATGTGGACAGACCCAATGCCAAAGTTTATCCTTTTTCTGTATTAGGGCTTTGGGGGGAATAGATGAGCTTCTGAGAAGCAGAACCGGAATGCACCAACAAAGCAATGCGCTACGTCCTATTTTTCCAGACTTCATCCTACGATATGTGCATGCAAGTAGGGACTATGACACCTGGGGCAGACAAATATACCAGAAGATTGATGATTTTTAGAACCATTTGAGAAAGCGCTGAGCTGCCTGAAGTCAATGCAGTACCGAAAACAAAGAACCGGCGCACTTACCTGCAGCTTGACTTCTGACGTCAGCGAATCCGTGTTGTCTTCCCCACCCAGCTGGGGGACGGCCAGAAGCTTGACTAGCTGGAGCACAGCCCCAGGCACTCTGCCCCCCTGCAAAACGTCCCGGAGCAGGTGCAGCGCAAACCGCTGCTTCAACAGGAGGGGCGCAGCGTCCAGAACCTCCGCTGGGATCTGACAGGCTGGAAAGGGGAGAAAAAGGATGTTTTGCTTCTGTGCCCGTCTTACCAGTTGGTAAACCAGTTTTGCTTCTGTTGTTGGAAAATAGAAGTCCTCTGTGCATGTGAGGAGATGGCCCGCAAGCCTAGGCTGGTGCATTGTGTTGGGCAACGGAATCTGGTTGCCGGAAGTGGCAGCAGGTGATAAGCTACAGCCGCCTGCTAATGTCTGCCAGATTCTGAGACATGAAGGCGACCGTCAGCATACACTCACATCAAAAGGCTAATAAGTATGGAGCGACAGACTAGATATGGACGTCGGGCTTACAATTGCACGTTACTATCCAGTTCGTCCAACCTTTTTGAGAAAGAAAAAGTAGGCGGGCAGCAGCCCAAATGTGAATGTCACATGATCTGGTTCACCATCTCTCTGGGACTGATCTGAGATTGTGGATGAAGTCAGCGCTGCTCCACAAGAGCTCCTTCCACAAAGAGAGACTGGGGGACATCAGGACGATCGGCTTTGATCGCTTGAACGTAGGGAATTGCCTCAGACCTTGTATCAGCTCCAATGAGGTGTCCCCCTCCGCCAGGAGCTCCTCCAGTACCCATGCTTTTGGGTCCGGGCCCATGCCCGCCTTCTCCAGCATCGCGGCTCAGCGAGCGCGTCGGCAATTTGTACTCCCACGTTCTCCTTTGGTCGAAGTTCTTGCACTGGCTTTCTCTGATGCCCCGGTTGAAACCGGTCTTTTGACAGTCTGTCTAAATTTAGAAGATGCAAACAACGAAGTAGGTACTCCTGTAGCGCCGGCCTCTCAACCCCGAAAGCCAATGCCAAGCAGTTCAAAAGGAACGCAGGTGGAGCGCACCGTGACAACAAACGCCCGCGCCCTCGTCAGGCCCAACGGCCAACCTCTAGCAGCTAGCTACCTACCGTATGCTTCAAGTTCAAGTTGAAGTTCAGGACTCGCCAAGTTCAAGTTCCAAGCGAAGCGTTCGTACAAATTACAATTTCAAATAACTTTCAAACCGAGCACAGTTCGATCATCCATCGACGGTAGAGATGCTCACATATATTAGTGAGCCTTAGCCGTTCATAGATCAGTATCACTTACGGACGGCTGGATTTTGTGTCTAACGTCAGCCTGCCACCTGGATGATGCATAAGTGCCAGCATACGGTGAGCCGTCCGATGGACAGTTCCATGATTTGCTCAATCTAAACCGTGATGTCAAAGCTGCCTCCCCCGGGTCAAACCAATGACAAAACTCCTGCCGAAACAGCAGCCGGCAAACCTTTTCCACCGTTACAACAGATCCAAACCCCCGGGGCTCCAACTTGTGCGAGGCTAGGGTTTGAGCGCTCGCGCGCGTCGATCCGAGTCCATGCACGCCTGAACGGTTTCCCTGCACGGGGTGTACTGCACTGTCACAGGAGATGATGACAAAATTTGCACAAGCTCCGTTTGGCAGAAGGTGAAAGGACGCGCTGTGGCTCTGACATCTTTGCAAGTTGCAATTGTGCAAACCTGCCAGGAGCAACTTGGGAAAGGATGCAATCCTGCGCTATCATGGGTGCCCAGGTGGGACGCAGGTGGGCAGAAGGGCAGAAGGTTGCAGGAGGGGTTCTGCATTGAGAAAAACGCATCTACCTAGGTGAAGGATTTGGGGGTTTTGCAGAGGTTTCAAAGTTTCCATGCTCGCGTTTGGTGACCAGCTGTAGCAGCCAGCTGTTTTTGAAACCATCAAATCAAGTTAGGGGTTTGTGTAGCATTTCTTAGCATGCTAAAGCCATGCGGTAGTTTGGCACCTCAAAAGGTGCAAGGAGGTGAGGAACAGACTGATTACATCATGGGTTGAAGTGGAAGGGAGCGGATGCGCGCATGATTGCACGCGCAAGAGGGATGTCAAGGGCAGGGGACAGTGTCATTTTGGAGGAGCAGCTGGATGAGAATTACGAGCCTAATCATGAAGGTGAGTTGGTTGGAAGGTCTTCTGTTTCATGAGTTTCCTGGTTTGCATCATTGTGACGTCTTGTAACTCTGTCCGTCTTGAAGTTTCATCAAGTTCTGCTTTGCAGCTCTGGTAATATCTGAATACACCCGTTTATTTGTTTGCACTCTCTATTGTTTTTCTGTTGTTGTCTTTTTTTCGCTCTTTGCGAGATTGCTCCCCTTCTTCAGCAGTTTCTGCCATCAAGAAAGGTGAAGGTGAAGGTGAAGGAATGAAACAACCTACTTTTGCTCAAAGTCAAGCCCTGAGAAGTTGGAACATCCAGTCTCCAGTCCGAGTTCCAGGAAAGCTTTATTGAAATGGTGCCCTACTGTTTGGTGCGTTTGGCAAAAGGAGGCATCAACAGAATGTCTGGCGTGGCGTCGCACTAAGAACTTCTTCAAAATTGGCAGCCGCTATACATCACCTCTTCTCCCTTATCCTTTGTGGGTCATGTCTTCAAATGCAGAGAGGGCAACTGGCTATGGTCTTGGCTTGCAGTTGGTTTGTCGGTTGATCCATATCAACAGCATCCAGCATTCAGCTTACTTTGTCAGCTGTAACGCCCATAGCTTTGGTGATTAAGAGAGCGTTCTCGTTGGAAATTGTTTGAGCTTCTCCGGGGGCAAAGCAGACACTTGCCTTGTCGTCAACAAATTGGGCCCAGTTAAAAGTCCAAGAAGGGAAGGGCAAGGGAAAGTGAGAATACTCTGGTTTTACACCGAAGAATGCTCCTGAATAGGAGCCCCGGCGTTTTTTAGGGTGGCACGAATTGATGTGCAAAAACCGTTTAGCTGGCACTACTTATGAAGTTGCCACATGTTTAGTGCCTTCAGATTTCTGCAATCATATAGCATCTGTTGCTCGGGCATTGATTTTGGAGCGACTTCCGACACCTGGAGTGATAGGGGGCACCTGACACTTCTCAACTGTTTAGTGACTAGCCCCCCTCTGGGACATTAAGCTAGTTTCAATCACACCACTTTTGACACCTGTGAAACCGGACGACTGTCTTGATCAGTTCTCCAAGGAAGCTAGGAAGATTGCTATGGGTTCCTCTCACCAAAAGCAGCGCTTAAGCATTTTATGTGATTCGCCCATTCTTATGTCAATTGGTGCAAGCAATCAGGGCAACTAGCAGCAGGGTTTCTGTCGTCAAGCATGGTGCATCGCTCAATGTCACAATGAACAAGATGGCAAGAGTCATGCCTTCGTCTGGCAGCAAAGATGGTTGTGTGGGTGGCGGGGGTGACATCAGCGGGTTTGGCTACTTGTGTAGCGCCAGCAAATCTAGCCGCGTTCTGTGGAGCCATTTTGCTTTTTAGGGTTTTCAAAATGTTAAAAGCCGACTGCCTGATGCCCCACTTCATCTCTGTTGCAAAGCATATTGTGGATGGAGAAGAATGTTGTCCCCTCGAGCGTGTTTTGTGGGCAGACTCTCCAATCAAGCCATAGACCAATCGCCTTCAAAACAATTTTGCTACGTGAACTTGGCGGGTTGCAATGCACTTCCTCACAGGGTCACAGATATATCTTTTCTTCTTGTTGCAGGTGCAGTTTATCACCTTGCAGAGTCACGTTTGCATACCTTTCTCTTTTCCTCGCTGACATTTGTGAGCTCTTCAGATGGCTACAGAAGGGACGTATCAACAGCTGTAATCTGACTTGCAGAAAAGACGCAACTCACGAGAGTACTTTCGTCTTGTTGCAGAGATCCTGGAATACGCAAAATGGCTGGGGATGGACGTACAGCGCGAGCCGGATCTTGTGTGGATTGCACGGGAGGGCCTCAAGGCGCCGCTGCCCGAGCACTGGAAGCCCTGGTCCGTGACCACTCTTTCTCGCTCCGCTTGCCATCATTCTCCTCGCTTCATTGTTGATCACTGTCACATAACATGAAACCCTTCAAAGTCTGATTCGTGACTAAACTATCGTGTGCCAGTGGTGTAATCAAGAGTCACAAACCCTGCAAGGAAAGGGTTGAGTTGGCAAATATGGCGCTCAAAGACTGGAGAGAGGCTCTTTGTATGAATCGGCAAGATGATCTCAGGACCTGGTGGAGCAGCTCAGTGCTTGACTCTGATTGCTTGTGGTCCTATGCCACCTGAGGATCTACGCTGTCTCTGTTTGTTGTATGGTTGCATGGCCATCTAAGTCAGCGTGAAGTTGTCAGCATTGAGGTCTGCACTTGGCCAGACCACTGCCTTACTGCCGCTTCCTGCCTACTCCTCTCCCCAGCAGTGTGACAGTCATTCCAGAAAGTAAAGATCCTGACTTGCCAGAGTCTCAGATTCTGGGACTTCTTTTAAACGTCAGCGCGTGCTGTTAACTCTTGCCGCATCCCACACAACAACATCAGCCCCCCCAAGTTTTTCAAATTGTGTACCGAGACCTCAAAGCTCACGGCCATACCGTCTCCGTAAGCCTGAAATTTTACAGCTTCCTGATCTCCGCTCGTCTGCAGCCGCATGCCCGACAACGACATCTACTACTTCAACTTCCAGACGGGGGAGAGCACGTGGGACCACCCTTGCGATGATTACTACCGAAAGCTTTATGCGGAGGAAAAGAGGAAGCACGACTGGCACCTGCAGCGCGGCATGGCCCCCACAACTGCACCGGTATGCCGCTTCCTCCTTAGCAGAACTTTGAAACCTGGAGTCGAGTTCTAGGCGGCCCTTAGAGGTGCTGAATTCTCTTCTTTCAGAGTTTGTAGATCTCGAGATTAAGGTCATGCATCACTTCTCACCAGCAGACCTGATCATGTAGAGGCGTGTGGGGAGAGTCAGCACGAGAAGTCAAGTGGACATTAGCAGGGTTGTGGGCGGAAGAAGAGGAAGAAGAGGACGCACGTATGCAATCCATGTGAAGCAGAAAGGAAGCAGAAGTTTTTTGTGTGGTCGGATCAGCGGGCTATAAAGAGGGGGTTGTCTTGTTTGAGGGCATCTGTACTTCTCTTCATTGTGCCCGGAGGGGACCCACTTCAGAGCAGCTGAAGCCTTCTTCCTGTCGTCTTGAGTAAGCACCGGTTGGCTCTTAAGGTCATGACCATACGTGGTCAGGCTAAAACGCTCAAATCTTAACGCCCAAAGTCCAAAATACCAAGCTTTTGAATGGTATTCGAACATTGGAACCCGGATGTGCAACCCTTGCAGCCGCAAGGACGGGGCCAGGGCGGCGAATCGGCCCGGAAACGGCTCCCCGCTCTCCCCCCCGAGTATGCCGGACACATGGAGGGTCCGCCGGCCCCCCGAGGATTTGATGAGAACCGCTCTCCGGAGATGCGATGGAACGGAGACATGAGGCCGCGCGCGGCGCAGGTGCGCACTTTTGCTACTAAACGCTTTACAAGAATTGAAAGCATTTCTTGTATATCTGGCGATCCTGCTTATACTTTCTGTGCCACTTAAGTGAGACTTCTTCGTTTGACGTTTGGGTGTTGGTGCAAGAGGGATCTTGGTGAAGCTTATCATTGCAGGTTTCAGGATTCGTGCATGCGTCAGGGTGGTGTTTCCTCTGAGACATTTGGACTTCTAGATAGGCGACTGTGGCAATGTGCCATCGGCAATGGACAAATGCATAGTCTTGTAGCGCTGCTTAATCAGCAAGTAGCGGTTTCATTGGGGCGTTTTGCCTACGAAATAAGGCTAGCACATATCAAGTCGATGGCGGTCCTGATGTTCCCATGGCAAGACTTCAGACCACAACCCGCCCTTGCCTCTTTGCAACGCCAAATAGGCTTCACTGTGCTGAACAACGAGGCGGGATCCGGCAAAGCAACCACACGAATTTCGTTTGCAGGACGGAACTCCCCAGTCGTTGCGGCGCATGCCTGGAACCGGCGAAGGCCCCGGGGGGTCGCACGTGCGGCCCAGAATCATGTCTCCTCCGCTGCCCACGTCCGTGCTGGTTCCCAAGTATGAGCTATACGGGCAGCGGCAGGCGGCGGAACGGGCGTCGAGCACTCCCCCAACATTTGGCAAAGGTGACCGCCTGAGGGGAGGCAGAATATGATGATGTCAGCAGTCACAGAGAACAACCCGGGTGATGGGGAGCTTTCCTCTACCTTTCGGTCATCATTGCAGCATTCGCTTCTTCCCAATGAAGACCCGTACGTTGCTCTGCCGGCCAGTATCTTCCTTCCGAATGCTCGCCACCGACCTTTCTTTGGGATGCCGAATCTAGAACCGTATAAGACACATACTTCCCACGTTACACCCTGTAGGCGGGGCTGGAAATCTCTCTCACTCCAAAATCTGGACTTGTACTTGCAATCGTGAGCCTACTCACATCCTGAAAAAAGCTCGCGTATGCTTCGTTCGGTACGCCTTCCTCTTGCTGTACACAATTGGTACCGTTGTTGCGTTCTCCCTTATCGACTTCTGGGCTCTCTTGCTTGTCTAGGAGACGAAGAGTGGGGCCGCGACGCCCGCCCCCCCCCTGCCCATCCCGGGGCTTTTCAGCAGTCGTCCCCCCTGACGCAACGCTCCATCTCCAGCACCCCCCGAGTCTCAAACAGCACCCCCAACTCTCTTAACCGTGGCGGGGGGAAGCAATGGGTGCAACCTCAGACGCAACCTCAGACCCCCCGTGCTAGCTCATCCATGGGGAACTCCCCGTACCATGGCGCTTCCCCCACCCAGACTTCTCTCCGCAATGGGGGGGTCGTTGCGGACTGGTCTGACAGTGAAACCAGTGACGAGGAAACGCACCCTGCGAGGGGGGGTTCTTTTGGACAGGTGGGCTCTTGGAGCCTCACGCTACAGAGCATGTTGTAATGCTGAAAGGCTTCCCAATGCTGTTTCGAAGGATTATGCTCCTCTACGGTGGATGGCTTGGGGTTTGGTCGGAGTCTGAAATTGTGCACGATCCCAGTGACGTCAACGATCATCAATTTGTGAGTCACCGCTGCAACGAATCAAGTCGAGTCAGAGCGTCCGTTGAGCTCTTCATCGCCTGGTTTGTTACCACTATTACAGGGAGTCTGAAGCGCTCTGGTTCCGCTTATCCTTCCTCTGTCGAGTGTACATTCTAAGTGTCGGAGTGGATCCAACTGGAGGCTGGTCACTCCCATTGCACAGAAGAGCCATCCTGCTCAAGATGTGAGCTACCCGGGCAAACAAACTAAAAATCTCAACCGGCAGAATCACCTGCTCAACCGGCAGAATCACCTGCACCGGACCCAAACCCACGTTAACCACCAAACTAACCCTACCCGTATCCCGAACGCCTATCCTAAGTGAAATGGCTCTTGAGTGTAATGGGAGTTACCAGAGTTCCAACTGGTCGTGACGCGAGAAGCTCTGCTTCCGGCTGCAAAGCACTGCTAATGTCCCCCGGCTTTTCCATTTTACAGTCGGAGCAAAAGCGGCAGCCCAGCAAGGCGCCCGCGAGCGCCAACCCCGACGAGCACATCGTGAAGGCGCAGGAAGCCGCGTACCGGCGCGAGTTTTTGGCGCGGCAGAGGCAGGAGCGAGAGGAGTGGGAAATCGACGTGCGGCAAAAAGAGCGTGTGGCGCGCGAGGAGTGGGAGACCGACATGATGAAAGACACCGACAAGTGGAAGGTGGGTAGTTAAAGTTCCAGTGTAAGAGCCTCCGACCTCATTATTGCGAATTCACAAGCTACGCTTCTATTCTCAGATGTCAATGTGGAACGCCGACGACGTCATGCTTATGCTGCGAATACATGGGTTCTCAGCTAGACTGACCAGAAACTTCTTGAATCTGAATATCTGAAACGTTTCCGGAACTCAGTCCACCGCTTTTCAGGGACGACAATCGACTTTGAAAAGGTTTCGGGTTCTGCTTCGCGCTCCAAGCAGTGAAACGTGCGTGCTTCGCACTTTCAAATGAGAAGCACCAGAAAATCACCAGATATTTTGATCCGAAACACTCGCCTAGTGTTAAGCTGTGATCCATCGTGCTGGATTTGAGCTTGAAGCATGGGGAAGCAGTTCGAAGTTGCATAAGGTAAACACACACTCTTGAAAGGTCGAAGAAATGCACACTCAGATGCTGCGAGCTTTGTGCTGTTGCAGATGAGGCGGCGAGACGAGATTTTTCAGGAACGGCATTTGCTCGAGGAAGAGTATAACGAGCAGATTGCACGTTTGAAGGTGCGTTGTTGACATGCCACTGCGTAATCTACTTTTCCTTTCATTTCAGCATTCTATCCAATTCTTTTGACGGTTGGAGTCCCTTCGATCGAAAAAAAACATGATGGCAAAGTTTTGGCTTTACGACATTCGCTTATAGTAGGAGCCGGCAGTACGAGGCAGGCTACTAAGGAAAGGATACTCGGAAGCATCCGATTCAGGATGTGGACCCCAAAATCAGCCTGGGGCCAAATTTATTAAGTCCTTCTGCACCTTGGGAAGCGGACAGAAGGAGAGCCAGACCTCAGAACCGTTGCTCTTCTTGTTTTGCGGTCCTTCCCGCTGCTTCAGGGTTGCCCTATTTCAGCTCGCAATGCTTCAGTCACAAACGAAGGTCTGAGCGAAGTGCTCATACCGAAGTGAGGCGGTTGTTTTCAGAGGTCAGGATACGATAGCTTCATGTTCTTGGATGACAATCCTGTTCCGACCGTGCAGGATAAGGAAGACTCCACGCTCAACCAGATGGCGGCAGCCAGTCACGGCCGCATGGCGGTCATTGAGGAGCGCCACCTGGCGGGCCTCGATGCGCTGAAAAAGGTGGGCAGGCTACGTGTCAGCTTTTTGTGCCTCACCGCCATTAAGCGTTAGGTAGAGCGTTCGGATCTGTGTCTAGGCAGTTCGAGGTCATTTCCGATTGAATCTGCGAGTTCGTAATGTTCCTAGGAAAGTCAGCTCACTTTGATCGAACTGCTTCTTTCTCCCCAAGGACCTACTGCTTACTCCTCAAAAGTTTCCAGGAGGCGACATGGCTGCACAGGGCGTCTGTTGGTTTTCAAACGTGAGACCCTTCCTTTGGATGACCAAGAGCGCTGTTCGCTTGCTCGACTATCCAAAGTATTCAAATCGGATTCGGGCCGCTAGCCAGAGCTCTGTATTATTTGTACGAGAGCCTATCTTCGAGTGAGCGCAAACAGAGGGGAACCCTTAAGTGGAGATAAATCTAGCATTTCAGACCTCCCCGCTATAGCTCAGGAACCTCGAAGAGCAGAAATCGGCGAGCAATTATCCAACGGCAATTTGAGGAAGGAGTCCGGCCAGGATACCGGTTCTCGACATCCCATACCCAATTACCTAAAAATTTCTGGCCTTGCAGGAACGGGAAGAGCTGTTGCAGAGAGCCGTCAATGAGAACCGGCAGCTGCGCGAGGCTTCTCATGGGGGCAAGGTACGTACGTTCCTTTCTTGCCAAATTTCTCTAGAACGGTTTTGACAGATGCTATGAAGCCGCGACTGACCGATGAAACTTAGCTTTTCCATTACCGGTGTTTGCCGCTCAAACGACATGGCGACGACCAAGGAAGTGTCGTCAAGGGGCAAACCAACGCTGAAGCCCATTTTCCTGTATATCTCATAAGTCAAGGATACACTTCTGGCTCGGAAAGTATAGCGAAGGTCAAGGCGCAGCTGTGGAACACACAGTCGGCGTTGAGAGGCCATCGGCAGCGAAATCCCTCGACAAACGCATAAATTTGGGCCTTATCCAAGACCCGAGAAGCGGTTGTCGAACCTTCGTGCAGTTTGCTGCCCAGAAATGTTTGAGTGACATCAAGCTAACGTGAAATGCAGAGGCAGCGTGGCAGGACCCTTAATATCCTAGTCGTCTCTAGTCCGAGATGCAGTATCGTTAGCTCCTCAGTTCTCGCTTCTAGTTGCTGCCTGGGAGCGTAGCGGCGGCAGAGGTGCTGATGCGGGAACACTAACCCGATCCTGGTGTTGAAAGCCATGTTGACACGCCAGATTTCTCTACTTTTACAGTCGCTGTCTGGGAGGGTGGCGGAAGCGGAGGCGCTGATGCGGGACGCTTCAAAAATCGAGCGTTAGTATTTTCAAATCCAACCCCCTTAACCGTCTCTATCTTTGAAACGTCTCGTCTTGCAGTCGCTGCCCGGGAGCGTGGCGGAAGCGGAGGCGCTGATGCACGGCGCGGAGGCGGCAAGACCACAAACAGTCGGCAATTAAACCCTAGTGTTTCGGGTCTCAAAACCCCATTACTCTTATCTGCAAATCTCCTCTCTTGCAGTCGCTGCCGGGGAGCGTAGCTGAGGCTAAGGCGCTGATGCGGGACGCGGAGATACAAATGCTTAAAAGTTTGAGCGCTGATGTTTCAGAATCCAACCCCCTTAACCCTCTCTGATTTCAAAACCTCTCGTCTTACAGTCGCTGCCCGGGAGCGTGGCTGAGGCTGAGGCGCTGATCCGGGACGCGGAGGCGGCGGCCGAGGAGCGCAAGGCGGTGCTGCTGGAGGAGGCGCAGCAAGCGGTGGATGAGGCCAAGCAGAGGATGTTGCAGCAAGCGCGGGCGGAGGTGGAGGGAGAGAAGCAGAGGATGATGCAACGGGTGAGGTTTTTGTCGTGGGGTTCTCAAGAAATGCTTTTGGGGAGGAGTGTCTTTGGAGCCGGAAGAGGACGGGGAGACGCAGAGGCTGATGCAATTGGTGAGGCGTTTGGAAGGGGAGGGGGTCGAGGAGTTCTCTTGAGTCTTGTGGGGGGGGAGGATGAGGACGGAACATCACATTTCAGAGTCTTACCCAAAGCCTGCCAAACCGCCATTCATCACATTTGCGGTCGGCAAACCAGACGGTTGCAGCATCAGGCAGAGACGGAGCCTATGCTGTCAAACCGGCGACAGTGACACGACAACCACCAGTCCAACTTCCAGAATCAGTTTCGAAACCTTGCACTGTACACGTGGACTCTAGACTCCGAATCCGAAACCCTGCAGTTGCGGAAGGAGTTGGAGCAGCGCCAGGCGGAGATGGAGCCCGCATCGCCCCACTACTCCCCAACCGACGACCGACCGGCAGACCCGAGCGAGAAGGTGGTGCGCTGGAAAGCCATTATGCAAGAGGAGAAGGTGTCAGCGCGCCAACGAGAGGGCCTCGCAGAGAAGGTGAAGCAGTCTAAGCAACGAGTATTGTCTCTGCTTTTCAATCATGGCCGTTGCGTGGAGGAGAAGTGTCGGTGTCGGCGCGCTAACGAGAGGGCCTCGCAGAGAAGTGAAGCTGTTTTACTTTTTGAGTGGTCACTTTGAGACTTCGATTGTAGCCACTGTGCGACCGACAACGCCACTGGAACGATAGGGGTCGATCAGGCTCTGCGCTCAGGTCATGCGATTTGCTGGCAAGAGAGAAGCCGATTGCGTCAGAGTGGGACATGCACGCGAACTCCGTTTCTTTATCACCTTCTGCTGCATTGTGATTCAGTTGGTCGCCCTGGTGACACAATTTCTGCCGCAATCGGGTTTGCCTCCTTCAGAAGACCAAAAATACGCTGGCAGATTAAGCCTTCTGGGATCGGTTGATGAGTTCGATAATGAATTGTTTCAGATTCAAATTTCTTACATCATCTGACTGCGGACAGGCTTCTCAATCAAGCTGCCCTGTGATGAGGTTCGAAGTCAATCTCTGACCCCTTCCGAATCGGTCGGGAGGAAGATCGGAGTTCAAAGATTATCTTTGACCCCTGATATTCCTGTTCGAACCCATCAGTTTGATTATTCTTTGTATCAGATTCATTAGGATTCAAACCCCTTTTCCGACCCCTCATACTCTTTTCCGGCCCCATCCAGGTGGCGCAGATGATGGCGGGCAAGGAGGCGCATATGCTGGAGGGTGTCCGATCGATCTCTCTTCGGTTGGGGTTTAGAACCCAATCTTCAACGCCTTATAACGGATTGGGTCATAAGAGAGACTGGGTTTGAGCTAATTTCTGACCCCCCATATTCCTTTCCAACGACGTCCAAGTGGCCCAGATGATGGCGGGCATGTCGGAGGGTTTCCACTTGATCGCTCTTGGGATGGGGTTCCAAACCCAGTCTTCGCTTCTTTAACGAAGTACACCCGATTTTGAATTGATAACCCAGTGTCCGACCCCTTATATCCCTTTCGGCTCCGTCCAGGTGGCCCAGATGATGGCGGGCGAGGAGGCGCGCATGCTGGATGCGGAGCGGCGGCGTGTGCAGGCGCGCATTGAGGCGCGGCTCGGGGCCGAGGAACAGCGGCTGGTGCAGGAGCGGATGCAGGTGATCGAGGCGCAGCTGCGGCAGGACGAAGAGACGGTGTACGGCAAGCGGAGGCAGGAACTGGAGGAGCGCATCCAGGAGCGCGTGCGCGGCGAGGAGGAGGCGGCCGTGCTGCGGAAGCGCGCAGAGCTGGAGGCCAAGTGAGAAGTGTTTTCTTTCAGGTTTTGTGGCCATTTTTATAGGGTCTTGGAATCGAGGGAGGACTTGGAGAAGCGGATCCAGGAGGGTAGACACGTAAAGGAGGATGCGGAAGCGCAGAAGAAGGGCGTGCCACCTTAGAGGTTCTTAAGTCTGGGTTTGACCGTTCAGATCTCTCCGACTTGGTGTTTAGGTCCCGAAGCCTTCTTGTTTTCAGGCGCTTTGAGATGTTCTGGACCCGACTGACGTCTTGGTGATTCTTAGTAGGAAATGTAAAGTTCTTGTGCGGAACCGCACTTCTTGCAGAATTTAATGTATCCTGAAGAAGGTCTGCAAATGTTGGAACGAGAGATGGGACTCTTTCTGCTCTAATGTTTGGGGGATAACTCTGGGCAGGTCATGCCAGTTGCCAGTTGTGAAGCAAAAGGTTTGCTCGATTGGCTGCTGTCAAGAGTTTGCACAAGACTTGGCTCAAAACAAAATAATCAAACCTTACGTCCGCTCTTCCGCAGTCTTGCGCGAACGTTTGAGAAGGAGCGCGGCGACCGAGAGATCAGCTTGCGTTTCGAGCTCGAGAAGGAGATGCAGGCGCGGCGCAAGGCTCTGAAAACCGAGATGGAAAAGAAGTCACAAAGCGATTCCTCCGGCTCCGGTAGCCCGAGCGGGTTTATGGCTAACCTTCTGCCGGGTCAAGCGCTGACCGAGACACAGCTAGTAGACCAAGAGCGAGCGCAAATGCTGGAGCGGGTGAGGGTTCTGGTCGCGAAAGAAGAGGAGCAACTGCTCAAAGAACAGAGGGAATCGCTGACGGAGAAAGTCAAGCAGACGTTGTCGGAGGAGGGCGGCGGCGTTGTGGAAGACAAGCGCATGAGCGAGGGTGAGAATAAGGCCCAGGAGGAGTTCACACTAGAACGGAGCCTGTCCATGGAGGGGTTACAGGAAGGGTTGCGGGAGGGTTTGGGACGGGGCGAAGAAATTGCGAGGGCGGAGGAGGAGGGGCGGGCGCGGTTAGCGCGGGTTAAGGAGGAGGTTGAGGAGCAGGTTAGGGTGGCGAGGGAGAAGGAGCTTGCGGAGTGGGAAGCGAGGACGAAGGGAGAACTAGAGGCGGCGAAAGAGCGGCGCGTTGCGCAGATGCGGGGCGAGATGGATATGCTGGTCAAGTCGGAGAGGCTCAAGGTAGGCAGTGATCGGCTTTGCAAGGTTTTGGTAAGTATAAACCTTGATAGTCGACTGTCGTGAGACACTCTGCAGCATCTGTGAACTTCACAATTGCGTGAGCTCCGGTGCGTCCATCAGGCATCTGCAAATGTCTGGTTTCTGTAAGCCAATTTTTTATTGTGAAAAGCCAATCTTTACGGAAGCAGACCATAGTTGCTCTGTTAGTTGCTCGGACACAACCGTCACAAGTGACCATCCTCAAACTTCGTTTCTTCGATCTGGTGAGTTGCTTGATAGCAAGGGCTGCAGTTCAAAGCCGGAAGAACAAGTTTGAGTTTCTCCTGACAGTTGGCGAAGCAGCGCGAGAAGGACGTTGCGGAAGCCAAACGCAAAGCCGAAGAAGAGCGGCTGAGCGCAGAGTCAAGCCCTACGCCAGTCTCTGTTCTTCCGGGGTCTGTGGATCAGTTGGTCAATGAAGCCGAGCTTCGGAATGAAAACGAGCGCGCACTAAGCGAGCTTCGGGAAACGTTAAAGCAGGAGCATGCGCACGCAGTGGAGCAACTAGAGGCGGAGCACAAACAGTCGCGAGCAGAGTTTGAGAAGGAACGGGCAGAGCTGCGGGAGCAACTAGAGGCGGCCAGAAAGGAGAAGCTAGAGTGGGAGGAGAGTGAGGAACTCGAGAGGAAGAAACGGGAGGCGGAGAAGGAGGAGAGACTAGAACAGGAGAAACTAGAGGGGGCGGAAAAGGAGGGCGAGAGGGCGGCCGCGGAGAACGAGGGCCGGGAACAGCTGGAGGCGGTGCGGAAACGGTTAGACGAGCAGTTGGCGGAGCTGAATCGGACGGCGGAGGAGGGGCTAGAGGCGGCGCGGAAAAAAATGGAGGGTGAGCGTGATGCCGAGGAGCAGCGGCAGAGGGAAGCGATGGAGGCGGAGGTCGCGGAGAAGGTGCGCAAGGACAGGCGGCGCATCCTGGAGGACGAGAAGAAGAAGGAAGCGGAGCTCAAGAAGGAGATGAAGGTGGGCCGTTTGGAACCTTTTCCAGAACGTCTGCTCTTTATTGCGAGGTGGGCTCTGATAGTAGGAGCAAGGAACTCGTCAACTGGCGTTTGGCAACGCTTCGGTGTCTTGGGGCCGTGGTCGCTTGGTCAATGATAGGGATAGTTTTGGGTTGAAATAAGCTGTTGTTCGGTGCGCCAGATGTGGATTGAGTTTGAGCGCACGGGATTTTTTCTCCTCCGATGACTGTTTAGGCTAGTTTTGATCGATTCGAAACCCTTTGTATCTATCGATAAGCCTGACAAGGATCGCGACGGTATGACAGGCGCGGCAAGAGTTCCAGCGCGCCAAGATGGAGGCGGAATTAGAGCGGGAGATCCGGCGGGAGCGCGAGAAGCGGCGCGAGGCGCTGCGCAAGGAGCTCGAGACGCAGGAGCACGACAGGAAGCGCCAGGCCGACGAGGTGCGCAACGTCACCTTGGAAACGCAGAGCTCGGTGCAGGACGCGCCGTTTTGAAAGTGTCGGCTTCTCCGTAACAACGGTGTCAAGAGAGGCTCTGTTGCCGAGAAGCTCGGTGCCCATTTGGCCTTTGAAGTTCGTGAATTCTTCGATTTTGCACCGGTCACTTTTCGAGCTTCAGGGTTTCTGGGTTAGAATGCAAGTCCATTTTTTAGGCTTGCAAGTGGTTGCACGGGGCCGGAGTCGTACTCTATGGAGACCCAGTATCAAAGTCGTGGTGAGCACTTTCTCGGCAGCTGCGTGCTAAGAGACGCAGCAGCGCTCGAGGAACAGAGTTTGAACGCAAAACGGTCTGGCTGCAGACAACGACCGATGAACGACGACCGGTTCATATGGGAAGCGGGTTCAAAGTTGACCGTTAAAATCCGCTGATTGGCCCTGAAACCGCTGGTTTCCGCGCAGGAGTGGCGGGGCAAGGCCGCCAAGATTGAGGAAGACGCGGCGGCGGAGCTGAAGAAGGTGCGCGCTGCGAAGTCACGCGAGCTGAAAGAAGATCAGGAGTGGCTGGAGAAGGAGGCGGAGGCGGAACTAGACCGGGCGCGCGAGGAAATTGGGCGCGCCAAAGACCTGCGGCTGGAGCGGCTGAAGCGAGAGACGCAGGCAAGGAACCGCCCTACGACCCTAGCAAATAGATATAGTGTCTCTTCTAGTCATTTCAAAAACTTGATCGCACAAAAGAAGAAGTGGTAGTCGAGCTCTTCTGCATATTCAGGGTTCAATTCTCGACCTCAAGTTTCTTTCAAGAGAGTGGCCTTGAGACAAGGCGTGTACATGTCGATATGAAAGATATCAGAATTGGTCTTCTAGACTGCCATTTTACCATTCCTTGTAGCCTTAGGATTTAAAAGAAAGTTGGATTGAAAAGTTGGCAGCTTATTGCTTATGTGAATCGTTACCAGGGCTAGACTCGATGATCATTCCGGATCCGTGTCGGTGTCTTCAAAATTGACTTCAGGTCGACGGGCTGAGAGTTTGTACAATATGTCCTGACGTTGTTGGCTGCTTCAAAGCTCATTCCAGTTGACTGCAAACAACTGTAGACGTACTCCCTTTCGGAAGTTCAAACCCCTGTTTCTTTGATAACAGGACGACATTGAGAGGGAGGAGGAGCGTGCGGAGGTGCGCAAGGCGGAGCGATCAAAGCAACTCGAGCGCTCGTTGCAAGACCTCGAGAGGGACGGCGCGCGCGCGCTCGAAGATGCGCAGCGCAGGGCGGCAGAACACCGATCGCATGTTTCCGCAGAAGCGGCGGAGGGGCGTGTGCTGACGTCAGCGCGAGTCACGGATGACGACACGGAGCGGAGGCTGACAAGAGGAGGCGGGAGCAGGGGAGCAGAGATGGAGGCTTGGCTCACGCAGCCTGTCGGTGATAATGGAGAAGCGAGGGACCCGAGAACTCCGGCGGCCAGGTTGCAAGCGGCTGCACCGGTGTCAGAATCAGGTACCCAAACGGCGGAGGTCGGAAAGAGACTGGGTAGGGAGCCGCCCGGGGAGTTGAACCGGGCGCGAGACGAAGCGGAGGGGCAGGAGCTTCAGGGCCTGGAGCAAGTCCGAGAGGAGGCCAACTCGGAGCGGTCCGAGATTCTGCAGCACTTCATGCGGGACGCGCTGGCGAAGCAGTCTCAGATGTTGCGGCACGCGACGTGGGATGCGGAGGAAGGAAGGGTTGACTCCAAGGGGCAGCGGGGAAGCGGGCCGAAGAAGGGTGGCAGTGTGCGAGGCTCCGGCAGTTTGTCTGGGTCGATTACGGACGGTCTGGGTCCTGCGTGGAGTCCGCATGCCAGGTCTGAGGGGGGCAGCCCCGTCCGACGAGTGCACAATGTCTTGCCACGTGGCCAGTCGTTACCCGGGCACACGGGGGATCCCCTCACCCCGGAAAGGCTTGATCGAGTGCAGAATGTCTTGCCACGTGGCCAGTCGTTACCTGGGCACACGGGGGATCCCCTCACCCCCGAGAGAAAAACACCGCAAGGGGGGGGTCCAGTATTCGGCCGACCGGGGACGGTTGACGATGTGTCTAATGGAGGGGAAAGTTTCGGGGCGGAAAGCGCGCCCCCTAGATTGGGGAGAAGCCCCGAGGGCCAGCGGCAAGTACTCCCGGGAGACCCCGACATTTCGACCGCGCAGCTGATGGAGGACCTGCGGAAGCACAAGGTGACGTCACCGGAACGGATGGTCCGGCACGGGCTCGAAAGCGAATCCGTAAAGAGTAGTAATGGCAATGGTAGCCTGGCGCACAGCGGAGGGAGCGGCGCGAGCCCCGAGATGAGCAGCGGGTGGTCGCTTTTGCTCGACGAGCAGAACGAGAAGGAGGGGAATGTGGAGATGAGGCTCGGGCGGTTGAAGACCAGGAGTCCCGAGCCAAACCTAACCCCTGTGGTTAAGCTAGCGTTCCACGATAAACCAGACAATGAGGCAGGAGTTGATCACATAGGGGACAATAACCCTGGCTACGGTTTAGCAATCCAGGCGACGATCATGGCCCCCATTTCGCCCCTTCCCCACAAAGACCTTGTTTCGGGGGGGGCCTCGTCGATCATCCTAGAGGCGAAGGTCCCTTCTGGTGCCCACTTTGCGATCAGTGATGCACCGTCCGGCGCTGCAAAGGCGCATGCGCTACCCTATGACGTCAGCCGTCCGTCAGCTGCGCCACTCCTGCCCGACGCCCCCTGGAACAAGAGCACCGACCGGCACAAGCCTCCACTTCCGGGCCAGTCGCCCGCTTTCCGCATATCCGAAGAGGCCTTCTTCGTCGAGCCAGCCCCCGATTTGGTGCCCGAGGGGGGGTCGTTGCTGGACGAGATCACCCCCCCAGAAAGCGAGAACCCTCACGAGGATTTCGAAGACATGGAGAGCCTGGCGAGCACGGTGACGTCAGCGCGTGCGAGCGGGGTCGACGGGGCCCGGCACGTGTGGGAGGAGCACTTCGGGGAGCGCGGGAGCAGTGCGATGCTTCGAGCCAATTCGTTGCCCGTGCAGGTAAGAATCGCGACCGGATTATCATCAGATTGGTCCCCGTCTTGTTTCTGTCCTGGATTACAAGACGACGTGCTTCAGAGTCGTGTCGCCCAACTTGCGGTTGTGGGCGAGGTTCAGTTATGCCTGGCTTGCGAGTAACAAGAGCGGACTCTTCTTCTTGTTAAGTTCGGGAACACATACGTAGCCGCATCCCTACTTAGCTTTTCTTTCTCACACGCTTTCTGTGGCTTGAATTTAGCAACGAGCAGAAAAGGGGCTTTCGACTTTGCTGGCTGAGGGCTCAACTCCTAGAAACTTGACTGGTGGGTTACAAAGGCGTGTACCCCAATCGGAGACGGATCAGATGGTCCACACATTCGAGCAAATCAACAGTCTTGAGTGCTGCACCTGGGACCCGGGTTCAACACTTTATCCTTTACTTAGACTTAATTTCGTACAAAAGCCGCCGATCCGCACGGTGGTACCGAGCGCGAACAAAGTGCATTAAGTGTAGAGCCTTCCGGCCTGCCCACCTCGAATGTAAAAGGCATGGCATCATCCGCAACGGTCTGACTCGTGTCGTTTGCTTTTGTCAGCGAACGGAGGACGTCCCGCCCGCGCCACCTGGCGGGCTGTCGTTGGCGGAGAAGGCGCACGTGTTCCTGACCCACCAGCGCAAGTTCCTCAAGGAGCGGCAGCTCATCATTGAGCAGGCGCGGGCCGACTGGAAGAAGCGGCTCCAGGAACTAGACCAGGTGAAAACGACATTCCGAGATCCAGAACGTTAATACTTTTGAGTCTCTGGATGATTCCAGATCAAAAACCCTAAGTTTCTGCTAAATCTTAGACCGACTCATTTGCGACCAGTCTGCTTGTTTAATCATAGATTCTATCTCTGGATGCATACGAGCACGAGGATATATTAAGCTAGTCGATTCTTGTGAGGCAGGAAATTTAGCTTTAAAAGCGTATTCAAAAACTGAGGCGGCTTTCCTTTACAGTGAAGCTCCGGCAACAAGAAAGATTCCCCGCTGCCTTTCAAACTCCTTTTCGTAGTCTCGGCTTTCTACGTCCATCGACAGCACACGATGTTTTGAAGGGAGTGCTGGCAATACGTTACTGATGAGTACACGAACTTCGCGAAATAATACTGAAGCATTGCCCATTGACATATCCCCAGGCGCTTCTCACGATTTAGGAATGGTCGACCCGTGGCGACAGTTCAGGAGTTAAGACAGGATGCGACAAGGAGAATCAGCAGAGTCCAGTCACTTTTACTGCGTTGCTTCTTCTGTGGACAGATGTCTAGTGAGGAGCGGGTGCGCAAACGCGGGTCATACCGTCCGATCATAATATCGGAACGTACCAGACAACTCAAAGCCCTGATTTTACAGAACCGTGATTCTTTCCCTGAAGCAGCTAAACTCACGGTGTAACATTGTGTCATTCGTGGTGACAGCTGGCGGCGGGCGAGGAGCGGCAGCGCAAGCGCGGCTTTTTGATGCAGCTCAAGGTGACGCTCGAGGACGCGGCACATCGGGTCAACCAGGAGGCGCGCCAGATGCGCGCGCTCAAGCACGAGCTTCTAGGGGAGGTGAGCATCGCTTATAGCGTCGAATAGCGTATTTGATGCCCGCGCTTTTGACTGAGCGGCGCTCGAGATCGAGCGATGAGCGCCTTGTATGCATCGGCTGGCTTATCGGACACTAACGACTGTTGAGCAACGGGCGCGCCAAATCTGCGCGCTCAAGACCGAGCTCTTGAGGAGGTGCTACCCGCCATAGCTTATGTGTCTTCCACGAGCCTATGACCATCCCTCCTGGTCATCCGGTTGCTGAGACTTTTAATTACCTACTTGTACAATACCTCGTCGGAACCAGCGTCGAGCGCACAGGGAACACGTGCAGTGTTCGACGACTGTGAAACTCTGCATCCCTCCTGCCAAAAGGAGCAACACGACGGAAGAGTTCTCGTTGTGGAATGCACATCCTTTCCCGCTTCTTTCCAAGTAAAAGGCTGGCCCGTTTGGAGTCCGCTCTCCCCCTTCGGCCATGCAAGGCTCGTCATCTTTTGCCAGTCTTCAGGCCCTAAAGTCAGCCGCATCATGTTTTTGCCAGGCCGCTCCGCCCGCCGGAGTTCCGGTGTTCCGGACCACCCTTCCAGCCCGGAACGGCGGCACCCGCCAGCGTTGGTCTGGTACCGAAGAGTTGCAGCGGCCCCGGACGGCGGACGCCGCGGAAAGACAGAGAGCCAGCTGGTCGGGGCCGTCCGGTGCGCCGCCCGAAAGTGCCCGCTCTAGTTTGAGGTGAGCGGTTCGGCCCTTCGTGCAACTACAAAATCCTCCCTTTTGCTAGTCTTATTCCTACCTGGGGGTTAGTAGGAAGGTTTGCAAAATTCCGATTTCACGAGTGAAAACCAGCTTGTGGTTGTCAGAGGGTTAGTCGCCCTTTCTCGCTGCCGTTTCGCGTGATCAACCCAGTAACATTACCGGCCATGTACAGAAGGAAAAATTGCTTTCACCGCTTTCAATACTTGTCAGGTGAATAAGGGCGGCAAGAAGCCCGCTCGCTTCTCAAGACCTCTTGATCGCCATTCTGAATCCAGCAGCACTCTCGCGGACTGTTCTACTTGGCGTGGAAATAGCGTGGAAATACCGTGGAAATAGCGTCTTCTTGCCTGATTTGCAGGTCGGCCGGGCCACGTGACCCGGTGCCTAGCAAACTGATGGGCCTCTTGGTCCGGTGGACCACCGAGCGGCAGATCGCCGGCGACCTGGCGCAGGAGCACTCGCTCTGGATGGCCGCCTCCCAAGAGAGACTGCGCACGGCCGGGGCGGTTCTCAATATCAGAGCGCCCATCAAGCAATGAAGGTGAGTTCGAGGTGCGGTATAGATTTGTTGGCGGAACGAATTGCGAGTGTCTGTAACTCGGGTACAAAGTTCTGTTCGTTTTAGTCGAATCCGCAAAGCCATATCTAGCAGAGAGCTCGCAAGGATCCTGAAAGTGCTCTGGATATGTTGCTCTGTGAGAGGAGACGCTCGACCAAACGAAACGGAAAAGGTCGACTCTTCGGCGGCAGCTTTGGCATGGGCCTCTGCAGTGTCGCACAAAAGTACTTTGGTCTCTCGACCCGATATTCGAGCTCTGCTCTTGTAAGGCTCGCAATCGCTAACCTTGTGAATTACTCTTCATGCAGGTTGGACTCGGTTCTACGATCACGATCCTGGTGCGGGGCCAAAGCGAACTTGAAACTTCACTGCCTTCTGATCAAGGTTAGCACTAAACAGCTTAGGTGGAAGCCAGGCGAACCGAGGATCATGCGTCAAGCAGCACCGCCAAAAAACCCTTAAATATCTGCGCATCTTAGAAAGCTGGGCTCAGCTTACAAATAGGTACATAAACGGTCATAGCTATGGGTGACCTACAAGGTGGTGCCTGCTTCATGTTGATACTGAAGTTTCGCCGTTTCCTTGCCTACCAAGGATCTGGTTCTTGTCTTCAGTTAGGTTCGTCTTCGGTGGTAGAAAAGGAAAATTTCAAACCGATTCGATCATTAGTGTTGAGTATCAAGGTGACGCAAGGCCCCTGGACTTCAGGACATTATCTTTCTTACAAAACCTTTGTGCTTTATCTATATGTAAGTAAGACCCCTAAGTCGTCACAACTAAATCCTGTGCAAACCAAAGGCGCGTTGCTCTGTGACAGACTGCACCACCTGGTTTGAATTCTAGTTGTCTTTTGACTAGAAAATGAAGCCATGAAATCTTGAACGAGCAGATTGCACTTATGGTCCCAGCCCATATGCTGGTGCTCCTGCCGGCATGCAGCGGCCTTACTGCCTTGCGTTATAGCGATTCGCAGGGTGTTCAACGTATATGACCATCGGAACCCAACCACGGGGTATGGGGCTAGCGACGGCCCTTGGTTTTGACTCTTTCGATCGAGACCCGGGCCTGCGCCAGACCATAACAATTGGGATTGATCATTCGATCATGATCATCTGCGACATGTACGAACTGAGCGCTGATGCCTGAAACTGGTACGTAAACAACGTGATATCATGCAGGGCACATGGCACGTATACTGTAGACCAGCGAGCTTTCGTCCACGTCGTGCTGCGCAACGTGCATGTATGATCAAATTCATATGGGCCTGGTTTTTCCTTGCAGGTATGTGCTCTGGTTTGACCGAAGCTCGCATGCAAATGCAGGTACACATATGAAGGTATGCAACATTCAACTGCTAAGGTACGGCCTGGTGCATTCATGTTTGCATCAAAGCACAATCATGGACCGTCATGGACCGTGCATACATCTGGCAGATTTGCTTGGCAACTTCACCACTTCTTGTGCCTGATGAGAGGTGCTAGCTCGTGCTAGCTCGTGCTAGCTCGGTGCTAGCTAGGTGCTAGCTCGGTGCTAGAGATGATGTAAGCAGTCACTGAGATTCAGAACACCCAAACTCAGAGCAGGCCAAAGCCTACAGTACCTACTACGATTCGACGGGCGCCGCAGTAAGCGCGGCCGCGCCTACATCAGCACCGCGGCCGCGCGTGCCACTTGGGAAAAAGGATGCGGCTGCACACTCGACAAGTTGCATACATGGCGCGAATGAAGCCTCATGAGCGCGGGCGAGTAGCACACGTGAGGAACTGTGGCGGTCAATGTTATGGTCTTGACAAGCCTGATATATTCCAGGCTCAGGCAATCACAATGATAGGAGGTCTGAATGGGCCTAGGGGAGCCCTGTCGGGGGCTCTGGATGCGAGAGATTTGCTGTGAAGCGACAAGTGTCACAAAAGAAGCCTGAACTCCATAAAGTGCTGCAGAATTGGGGGATTATGGGGAAGTAGCATGAAAGACACAAGGTGCTTGAGCCGGCCAAAAATCATCAGTAAGGGTGGGCCGCATGCCTGAAGCAGATTCTAAAATGAAAAGATCATAGAGGGCGCGGAGTTTGCAGATTGGCATCAATGTTGGGCAACGTTGAGCGATACGTGCTCACTCCGGTGAGGTGTTCCTCCATTTGCATCAGCAGAAGATGTAGCACAGTATGCTTGTCTCTGTTGATATATCTTGTGTGTTGTGTCGGTCTGCTTGTAGAATGGAGGTTTTAAAACTGTTGTGGAAGGACTGTTTAGCCACCTTTCGGTAAATGCCTCAAGTATACCACTTAAGGCCTTTGTTTCTTTAGACTAGCCTGTCTCAATTGCCTCATCGGTTGCTCCCATATTGCAGTTCCTCTCTTCTCTGGATGGCAATGTTAGCATCCTTCAAAGTTACAGATATAGCATATTGAAGGCCCCATTTGATGCAGCTTAGGCTTGAAGAAGCAAATACTTCAAGTATGGTGGTGCAGAAGCCTGATTCGTCGAATGCGTGGGCTTACGTGTCTGCAGGAAGGTCTGCGGCAAATGAATGATTTTTTGACTCAAAACACGAATAGTTTCATAAGCCACTGAGGTGGTTCAATGCCACCTCAGCGTTTAAGAGGCTCCCAAGATGCGCAACTCCTGTCGTTTACAGCATTTGTTAAGATGGTGCGATCAATATAGAAAAGGAAGTCAGGAACAGTCAAGTCTAGCTGGTGTAGGACTTGCGCATTCAGGTCCCGTGTCGTGTTACCATTATTCTTCCTACTGATTGTTTGATCGAGTGCTTTGCTCAGTAAACAATAAGCCCCTCTTCCCCACTTGCCAGGTGGTGCTCCGGTTTGCCCGCAAGTACATCAAAAATGTGGAGGGAGCCGCAGCAAGTGACCTGCAGGTCTCCTTGTCGGGGGGCTCGCTCGTCTTCCGCAACTTCGAACTCAACCTTGAAGGTGCGTAAGGGCCTGGTCTGTATTCTGACAGTGCGTTGCAATAGCAGCGGACAGGGGGTGGCTTCAGAAGATTGCCCAATGGATGCTAATAACATACAGAGTCAGGGACTTTAATCGTCAAAGGATGTGGTTTGGGACGTGAAGACGAGTTTGACGCCAAGATTTTGACTCCAATCAGTTGCTGTTCCTTGCAGCCCCGACCATTCAAACTTGACAGCTGTACGCGAGTCAGAGTCCGGTCTTACAGATTTCAAGGAACCAGAATGGCATGGAGCATCGTTATGGAAACAACGACAGTGCTTCTTCGGCCCAATCGAATCCTATGTGACAGTTCTTCACCCATTACTTCTGAAGTTGACTGTAGAAAGTACCGTTGTGTGGTTAAGTTGACCATCTCTAACCACCTGTCAACATGAACGAGCTCTAACTAGCTCGGATGTTTCTACAAGAGCTCTTGAGGACCTATGATGTTCCTAATTCATAATATATTAAGTTAGTTGGAATCGGCCTTGAATAGACCCAGCATACTTCTGGCTCTTCTTTCATGGATTATTATGACGTTGACCCGTTCTAACCAGACCCTAACCCCGCAGAGGTCGTGAAGAACCTGCCCTGCTCGGTGGTGCGCACATTCGCCCGTGAGCTTCAGATCAAGATTCCTTGGACCAGGCTCGCGACCGACCCCATCGAAATCGTCCTCGACACTGTGGAATGCGTCTTTGCAAAGGGCAAGGGGCCTCGGCCCGCTCCAGGAGAGTCGTCTGAGAAGGAGGCTGCGGAACAGGAAGCGAGCAAGGGCGACGATGCCGATCCTGGTTAGTTTCTCAAAGATTTTGGGTTGTTTGTCTGCTGCTCCAGAGACAAGAAAGTTCTACCGCATTGTCCGGCTCTGGCCGCTTTCCGAATTGAATTAAGACCATGTGCAGACAAATAAGCATTGCCACCTACTTGCGGAAAGTGCTTTCTTTACTGATATATATTTTATTTCATGGCAAAAAAGGAGGGTTAAATGTAGGGGCTGTCTGTGGCTTCGAGATTGCTTCCACGAGCCTGAGCTGCTTGCAACGTGACTTGTCTAGCTTGTTCAAAAATTAGTCCCTCGTTCTTCGTGCTTGTTTTGAAATCTTCGAAGTTGCAGATGCAGTCCAAGTATGCTGTCCCCGGGCATTGACTGACTGCCTACTCCTCTCTTTCAGGCGATCACGAGGCTTATTCGCAGACCTGGGTCGGCTCCCTGCTCCAGTCCGCGCTCGCCAACGTCACTGTCCGCGTCAAGAACTCCGTCATCAAATACATCGCCGACGGGGCGGTGGCCACTGTCTCGGTCGAATCCGCGGTCGCGTACTCGGCCGGGAAAGACTGGCAGCCGATCACCGATCCGCTTCTCGGACTGCGCCGCGTGTGCGCTCTCAACAACATCTCGGTGTGTCTGGACGAGTTGGATTCGTTCGGGCGGGTCGCAGAGTACCAGGAGGCCCTGCTGAAGGAGCGGTTGGTGAGCGTGCGGCTGTCTCTGGTGCCAGCACGGGGGGGAAACAAGGCCCGGCGATGCGAAGCGGAAGTGATCGTCGGCCCACTCGATGCCTCCGTGAGCAATTCCCAGTTGGACCAGATCCGCCGGATCGTGAGTGGGTTCCGGAGCGGGGCAGGGGAGGTGCGGGGCAGAGAGCAAAACGTAACAGAGGGGGAAGAGGCGAAGAGAAGAGAGATTGACGGAAATTTAGTAGAGGCGTCACAGGTTGCTCGAGATGACGGGGATGAGAGCGGTATCCAAAGGAAAGGACTGGATGGCGAGAACTCGAGGAGTACTGGTCTAGTTTCGAGTGGGGACAGGCTATCTCCACCTGAGTCGGAGGGCTCCACCGGTGATGACTTGGACGGACGGAATGTCGACGAGCGGACTGCGGACGGAGCCGGACACGAGCCCCTCAAAAGCAACGCGCTGGTGCAGGCCGCCGCAGCAGGGTGGCGCCCCAT